AAGCTATATAACTCAGGAGTAACATGTAATATAACAAATGTTACATTGTCAGAATAATACAGCAATATAACTGTGGAGTAACATGTAATGTAACAAATGTTACACTTATATTACATTACAGTTTCATAACTTAATTTTATGTATGCAATATATCTGAGTTATGAAACTATTACATTACTCCGTTATTTATATGTTACAATAGACGAAGTAATATAATTGCAATATCGCATGTTATATAACAATGTTATGTTTATATTACATTGACATTATGTAATGTAAACGTAACCCCCACCGGATCGCAACAGGCGAGCGTGACGATCGGCGGAGGGGCACGGGGAGAATACTTCGGCTTGAGCACCCGAACGAAAGTGACGCACTCGTCCGTTTGTGAATAACACGAGTTTATTTGACAGAGTAACCCAGGTAGCAATAGTGCCCTGCTTTTACTAGCTTTTGATGTTTTGAGCCCGCGCGAAGCCGGGTCTATAAGTTATCGCTTTAAGGTTGCCTTTACTGTCGTCTTATTATTTTAGGTTATATTGAAACATTTGCTGTACATTATTATATGTATTCTGGAACTGTTGAGTTATTTCGAGACACTTCTGGCAGAGGACGAGGAATGTCGGCAGTGCTTTCGACAATTTCGCAGCTTGTGCACGACCCTTTAGTGTCGATGGAGGGTATTGTCGGCGACAGTGCCAAAAGTATACAAAGTATTGTCGACCGCGACACGAACGTTGCGCGGAAGTACGGATACCCGGGAGGTCTTCGATGGAATGCGATCAGCGCCGCGGAGATATTCGAGCCTGTGCTCGTTTACTGGGAAAAGCGCGTGGACACCAACAAGAGCATGCTCGAGCGTTTGCTCGGCACTGGCGTCTTGCTGGAACTAATGAATTTGTTTGTACACATGAATAGAGATGAATTTTACTCCACGCACGTGTCGGTCGAGTGCAAGTCGTGCCTGGGCAAACTCTGTACAGTTAAGAGGGACTTGTACAACGCCGTGGTGATGAAATGCAGATTCATCAGTCTAGTATGTAAGTTTCCCGTTAAAACTGCCGGCGAAAGCGTGCGCTGTTACTAGGAAAATTATGAAGCGGAATGTCGAGTGGGTCATTTGTGAAATGAAGGAATCCGAATGTAAGTATTGGAGACAATCGTAGAACACGTGTCGCAATTTAACTTACAACGTAGGCGTACTGTCTGAACATGTGTACGAGGAAAGCGTGTGTTTACTGTTTGTTCACCTTCTTGTGCAGTTGCATCTCTCGACTCGACGGAGTCGAACCGAGCCCTACAGATTCTGAGAGCTTCAGGAATCTTGAGAATATTATCTCTTTCGTGCTGGACAGATTGAGCGTTGTATATTACAGCAATAATTTGTATAGGTAAGCTGCGACTGTGCGCATTGAATGCCTTGTTAACGTATAACCAATCAAACACGAAAGCTTTTCGTAGATGGGTGCGCATTAAGAAAATTACGTCCAAAGAAGTCGCAAGCTTGGCTATGCTGGACTGCTTGACCAGTGATGAAGATGAGATAAAGAGCGAACTGGGACTTTCAATCGATATCTCTAAGTACGACGTTACCGCGTTGTATCTGCGTGAAGTCAACAGTTTACTGGAGGAACAGGTCGCATTTGCGAACGGCGTGGCAGCGGTTCTGGAAAAATTGAGGAAGCTACAGCCGAGTGATCGATATGCACACACGGTGCAGTTATTAGGGTATTATTTCTTAGGTTTCAATTACGAGAGCTCTATTCTGGAGTACCACGAGTAAGCTATACACGATTTGAAACAGAAAAAGTCGAACTCCGTAGCTGTTCTGTGCTCGAAAGCTAATTTAAGTCTCTTTACCTTTACAGAGAACTTGCGAGTCATGATTAAGCAGACTCAGTTGGAAATAGAAATTGCCAAATTTTGTTTTCTTATAGAAGAACTTTCTGTTAAAAATTGGTGGAAACAATCCTTTTTTTTTACGTGTGGAAATCCTTTATGGATACCCGGGCCCCCCTCCGGGAAGGGAGTTTACATTAAGTGACCCGGGTTATGTGGGACTGCCCCCCTAATGGC